TGTCCAAATCGTATCAACTACAGGCATTGCGTCAGTATGATGTTAGCGAGGAGAAGAACAGAGATCTTAGTCGATGGAGAATGTGGATTCAGAATTTTCTAATCAATGTTGATTTATTATCTGGTGGAACAACCCTTAATCAAAATTTACAAAGTGAGTAAATTATTGCTTAGTTTCATAATATTCCACCTGCAGATTTACCGTTTTGAAAACGTTTCAATAACGTTAAAGTGAATGCCTTAAAATTAAAATATTTTCAACGCTAACACCACTAGATCCGCAGTCGTTTTTCATAAACGCCACTCCACGATAGCCAATTCTGACTCGAATAAACTAAAGTGGAGTGAGAAGTGGTCTTCTTAGCTAATCACATTAATGTTCATTTAAATTACGCGAAAGTTATTCCACATACGAATCGTATTTGCTATTATCCCAAAATCCAATAAACGATTTTCTCACTAGATGTCTACCCAGGAGAAAGGTTAACTAATTCTGAGGCAAATGCCTGACAAGGGATCCAAACGAAGAGCCCTCATTTGACATTACCTACCATATCTGGGATGTCCCATATGCTTTCGTTCCAGACGCCCCAAGGGTATGCCTACATGTTCTACTACCACTCAGAACAGCAGGCAAATAGCCAATGTGAATCGGAACCTGCTTTAGACACAGACATTTCGAGAGGATTGTACAAGCTGTCTTGCCATTACATCATACTACTTGGAATGCCACGCCATTCTTCCCTCCAATATACAAACGCGGTTCGAATGAGGATGCGAACACTGCCTACGAAGGGCTCCGCAAAGCTTATTGGGAGAACATAGTTCGATTTGCCTATGAAAATGGCTAGCAAGCATGACCATCAACAACAATAATGTTATTCTTTCTTCATCCCACAACGCTTGTACCCTAAATTCGATATTTCAATCGACCCAATGGCAATTATTGCAGCTGTGGTTGACCTTAAAACGACCTCATTTCATGATATATGCATTGGAAATTGAGCCATTATTTTAGGCACAATCAGTAACATCCAGTCAAATTAGATAACCAATGACCTCATTTCGCATGCTTGTACTTTCGTGTATATAGAAATATTGTAGACGAGCGATCGACTTCATTTTAACGGCACCACAGTAGCAGACGGCAGTATATCGAGTGAGCAAACAATTCGAGAAAAAAGTTCGCAGAGTCCATCAACGGACCAAGGCAACGTCGAACCAACGGTCCGTATGCATGAAGAGAGGTGAGTAACACTCGGTCTTCAAAGTTATTAACAGCATTTGCCATGATTCGAGAATTGCATAGGAAATAGTGGTGTAGAGAGTACAATTTTGACTTCACGTCTCATGGTGGGTTGCTTCAGAGGAAATCAAATTCGGTCCTAATCCGGTCAAAGGTGAACATAATCCTACTAATTAAGTGGAGGAAAATGAAGTGCCATCTACCCAAGAGGCATGAAACCGAATAAATGGATTTACCTACGTCAGAATTGCGGTTGATAGCACTCGTGTACTGCACGTGTATGTGCCATGAGATGAAATCATCACCCGTAGCAATTAAAGTAGCTACTTCTCCATAAAAGCGCTTTTGAGATAGCAGATCTCCACACTCTAAGTACCTTGATAACTTGCCAAAGGGAAAATAGTAAATTACTTCGAGTCCCTTCGAGTCACTCTTCTTTATCCATTTAAATACCTCTCGAGTTCTTATTTACATTTTAGTGGAGAAAACTTTATCAATTTGCTGCCGACTATAATGCGGTTTCTGGAGGGCCTTTGCAGGACAATTGAGAATAGTTCAAGAGGGGCGCATCGTTACTACTTGAAAGACAACGCAAGGATCCAAGTTCTCTCTTTTCTTCTCTATAATGGACCACTTCTCAATATTTTGGTTGAAGTCAACCCGACTGTTGAAGACATTTGTAATCGTCTAAGAGCGTATGAGAAAATGAAGACCTACGTTCCAAGCCGAAGATCCAGAGGTGGAAGGTATAAAGTTCGCTATGACAGGTAAATAGTTGCTCTGAGTTAATGTCTCATTTTGCAAGCACATTTGAATCGAGGACTCAATTTCTCTTTTGACACAGTCACAAATGCCGGTCATACCTTTAATGAGCAGCCTTCTTATCTTTACCACATACTCAGCTTGAGCCTGTAACTATCTTGTGTATATATGCCAAGAAAGTGTAGATTGGGGGCCAAGTAGTAGTGAGGCATTGCACTATCTTCACCTTCAAATTAAGTACTCAAAATAAGAACAGCGAGGATGAGGAGGGGGGGGGAGGAGGAGGCATATTCGGAGCAGACAAAAAGAGGAGCAGTAAGCACTAAACTTGTGATGTGATAAGGTGGCAGAGTAAAGCACAAATGAATATAACAGAGCCGTGTACAGATTAAAGAATGAGGAATTGCATGAAGAATGCCCTCATTTGACATTACCTACCATATCTGGGATGTCCCATATGCTTTCGTTTCAGACGCCTCAAAGGGTATGCCTATATGTTCTACTACCACTCTGAACAGCAGACAAATAGCCAATGTGAATCGGAACCTGCTTTAGACACAGACATTCCGAGAGGATTGTACAAGCTGTCTTGTCATTACATCATACTACTTGGACTGCCACGTCATTCTCTCCTCAAATATACAAACGCGATTTTAATGAGGACACAAATGCTGCCTACGAATTGCTCCGCAAAGCTTATTAAGAGAGCATAGCTCGCATTAAATAAATACGGCCCAAAATAAGTTACGATGCTCTTGCAGCCTATTGAGGGCCACTATCCGTCGGAGATGACTGAAGAGGAAATCTAAAGTTGAAAGCTCCAATGCCATTTCTAAATTTTATTGGATTACACCGAGTTCCTGGAAGACAAAGTGAAATTGATCGATTCGCTTGTCCATCCAATCTAGTAAGTTGTTTGCTTCATCCTTATAATTGAAGCTCTAACTCTATTGTTAACCTTAGTTTTTCCTTTATTTTAGTCTGTCCTCAATCCTCATTCCATGCTTTCTCTACCCACATGCAATGATATTCGAGCTTTGACTGGGCTCATCAATGTGTTTCTTCGTAGTCTGCCGGAGCCTATCCGCGATCCAACATCGTGGACAGAACTAGCCGACACACTTCCCGAAGAAACAGAGGGAATGAGCAAACACCTTCTTTCCGCAACTCTAAGGAGTAATCGCTCGAAGCTAATCAAGGTAATGAATATTTGTTTGTTGTGCAAATGGAAGGTGTTAAGTACTAATTTTCAATGCGTACGCATAATATATGACCTTGAATGTTTTCTTCCTACTAAAGTTATGTGATTAAAGCATGTGATTACTTAGTGCTTCAGTCACTTTGGGATAACAAATATGCGAAATAATATTAATTCGAAAATATCACCTATTTTTATTCATTTATTGTCAAAGTCAGTAATTTATTCAATCCATCTTAGTACTGCGTAAACAATGTAAGAAAGATATGAATTTGGAAACTTACTAACTTAGCAAAAAGAATTGAATTGACAAATCTATCTTTGTATGAGCTAAATACGTAAAAGAGGCAGTACTGACTATACTCTTATTAGGGCATTATGAGCAGTGAGTAAAAACACTTTTCTGATCATTACGTGACTGAATATACGTGTTCCGAATTATACGTCTGTTTTCTTTATAGCTGGGCTATAGCTTAGCTAGTTCTGGGAGTCTAGCTGGATGTTGGAGATTCTGTCACAGAGATTTGTGAGAAGTCGGACTTTATAAAATAGGCAATCCGATACAAATTAAGCGAACATGGAACTCNAAAATAAATAAACCGGATTTGATAATGTCACGATTGATAGAAGTTAAGTGATTTAAATACATACGTACCTGTTTGGAGAGAAAGAAGTGTGAAGAATCTGGTGTTAAGTCGCCTTCTTTTGACTAATATCAGTTTAACTTTGAATAGTTATTGGCAATGTCTTCAATGCCAAAACAGCTCTTACAAATGTTAAAATATATTCGAAATTTCTATTCTACAGAAATCCATGGAATTCAGAAGGGTTCAAAATAGAACTGATGTAATTAAGAAAGGAAGAAATCAGCCACCACAACAAACTCTCGTAAGTTCAGCCGTCGTACATCCCTTTAATTTACTCCCTTATACGAGTATACTGGCTTTATTCAATGAAAGAAATGGAAATGTCCAAACCATTAAAACCCTCCTTGAGGAGTTGATCAGTTTAAATTTAAGAGGTAATAAGAATCCAAATCTTGTGATCATTATCATTATCATTAGCCCTTTAGTTGACTTCGGGTTTCACAGAGGGGAAAGAATATCAAAGTGAAAAAAGACGAGTGTGGGGGCGGAGGGGGGGCAGAACAGAGTTTCAAAGTCGGAGGTAGAAAAGGTAGAAAAAAGATGACATACAGTGGGGTAATGGCCGTTTGAAATCAGATCTCAACTACCGATTTATAGACTAGATTTAACTGTGTTCACCAGATTTCCGCAGGTCTATTGGAAGCGCTGCTTCGACTTTTATCAAATACTGCAAAGTTACCGACACCTCAGGTCTTATGTTTTCGTTGTCTGCATTGTCAATCCATTCTCTCCTCAGTCGACGACAAGTATCTATAGCAAACCGTGCCGACTCATGATATGGAGCAATAGCTTGAATCTCGCGAACATATTTGAGGTAAAACATCAGGAAAGCATTCTTGGCGTGGAAGGTAGACGAAGCAGACAGTATAGTCCTCTGACCATTTTCTAGTTTCGCCACGAATTTATCATAACCACATAAGGTTCTGTTCAGGCAACCAATGTGGCCAATGCAACTGTAAGAAAAGATGCACCGATTAGTGAGAAGTTTGGAAGCAAAATTTAAAATTTGCATGAGTTGGTGGTGGTGGTGACAATGGACATTTGGGCATGCAATTTACATGATAGCGTGTGCTGTGATTTCGCCGATCACGCGTAATCTGACCAATGCAAGAGTTGATAGGCTTTCCTCACCTTATACTCTAATCAATGCAAATCATGAAATCTACTCTGCCACCGGTTATCGACTGTGTGATCTCTCACACTGCATAAAGAAATGGTGAATAAAAGCGTAGGTCCTTTCTAGTATAATGGAGAAGTAATGTTGGCCTAAACTCCGTCAATCCCCAAACAACAG